CCTAGTTTGGGTATCAGTTTTATACTTGCTTCAGAAAATGAGTTCTGGAGTTTGCTGTCCTTTTATATATTCTTGAATAATTTGTGTAAAATTTTATGTCATCCCTTCTCTGAATGTTTGGGAGAATTCACTGGTGAAGCCAGCTGGTCTAGAACTTTTTCAATGGCATGATCTATTTCTTCTTTTGTTATAGGTGGGTCTGTTGAGGTTTTCTACTCAGCCTAGGTTAATTTAGGAAGGTTCTGTGATTCTAGTCATTTGTTTATTTCATCAAGATTTTCAGATTTGTTGGAATGCAGTTTTTAATAGTATCATGTTATTTTTACTTCATTTGGTTCTGTGTTGATGTCACTTTTTCTTATCGATATTTGCATCTTCTTTTCTTTTGTTAGGTTTGCTATTGGTTTGTCGATTTTGTTAACCCATTCAAAGAACCAACTTTTTACAAAATAATTTTATTGGGGGCTCTTACATCTCTTATAACATTCCATACATCAGTTGTATCAAGCATATTTAGACAAGTTGCCATCATTATTTCCAAAACATCTCCTACTTGAACCCTTGGTATAGCTCCTCTTTTTTCCTCTCCCTACCCCATCCTGGTGAATTCTTGGTCAATTATATATTGTTATTATTTCATATTTCACACTGTCTGTTGTCTCCCTCCATCCACATTTCTGTAATTCACCCCCTATTTAGGGGGGGCTATATATCCAACCTTGTGATGAGTTCCCCCTTCCTTCTCCCTGATCATCCCCCTACCCTCATGATATTGCTACTCCCACTACTGTCCCTGAGGGGTTTATTTGTCCTGAATTCCATGTGTCGAGTTCTTATCTGTACCAATGTGTGTTCTACAGTCTATCCAGGTTTGTAAGGTAGAACTGGGTCATGGTAGTGGGTGAGGAGGAAGCGTTCAGGGACTAGAGGAATAATGTGTGATTTATCGGTGCTATACTACACCTTGATTGAATCATCTCTTTCATATAACCCTTTGTGGGGGGGCTATCCAACTGTCTACAGATTGGCTTTGGGTCTCCACTCCAACCCCACTTCTTTTTTTTTTTTTCCCCAATTGTTTTTCTGTTTTCTGCTCTTATATTTATCATTTCTTTTCTTTTGGTGGCTGAAAGTTTATTTTGTTGCTCTTGTTCTATTTGTTAAAGATGTTGAGTTAAGGTGTTTATTGCTGTCAATTGCCCTACGATACTGCTGTGCCCCAACGGCTTTGGTATGCTGTATGTTTGTTCTTATTTGTTTCAAGGAATTTTAAATTTTCTTTCCTTATTTTTTCAATTACCCAGTAGTTATTAAGCAGGGTTTTGTTCCATATCCATGTATTTGATTCCCCACTCCCTTGATCTTCCTATTGTTGGTTTCTAATTTTATAGGTGTTGTCTGAGACAATGATTTGTGATATCTTGATATATTTTTTAAGTTATTAAGGCATGCTTTGTGGCCTAACATGGCCTTCTAGAGAATGTTCCATTCGCACTGGAAAAGAATGTGTATTTTGCTGCTGTTGGGTGGAGTTTACTCTATATATCTAGAAGGTTAAGTTGATTGTGTTGTTTAGCTCTTTTATGTCTTCGCTGAATTTCTTTCCTGATGTTCTTCCTTAAGAGTAGTGTGTTGCAGGGAATCCAGGGCGGATAATCCCTTTAGGACCAGTGGTGTGAGTGGCAATACTGGGAGGGTAGAGGGAGGGTGGGTTGGAAAGGAGGAACTAATTACAAGGATCTACATGTGACCTCCTCCCTGGTGGACAGACAACAGAAAAGCGGGTGAAGGGAGACATCAGACAGGGCAAGATATGACAAAATAATAATCTATAAATTATCAAGGGTTCAGGAGGGAGAGGTGAGTTGGGAGGGAGGGGGAAAAATGAGGAGCTGTTGCCAGTGGCTTAAGTGGAGAACAACTGTTTTGAGAATGATGAGGGCAATGAATGTGCAAATGTGCTTTACACAATTGATGTATGTGTGGATTGTGTTAAGAGTTGTATGAGCCCCTAATAAAACGATTTAAAAAAAAAGAGTGGTGTGTTGAAGTCTCCTGCTTCTATTGTACCATCTATCTCTCTCCAACTCAACCTGTGTTTGATTAACGTACCTTGAAGGTCTTTCATTGGTGCACATGTTTATCAGAATTATGTCTTCGTGTTCAATTGTCCCTTTAATCATGATGTGGTGCCCTCTTTGTCTCTCATGATGGATTATACCTTGAAGTCTGCTTTACCAGGGATTAGTATTGCCACTTTTATTTTTGATTGCCATTAGCTTAAGATATTTTTTCCATCTTTGATTATTTAGTCTATTTTTGTCTTTGTGTTTCTTATAAGCAGCATATTGATGGGTCCAGTCTTCTTGCCCAGTCTGCTTCTCCCTGTCTCTTGACTATGCATTTAATCCATTTGTATTATTGACATGTGTGGGTTTATTGCTATTATTTTGCTGTTGTATGTGTAGTGCTATTGGCTTCTTTGTTCTTCAGGACTTTCTGTGCTAAATTCCTTTAGTTTATGGATTTTCTTGTCCTTTTTTACCTTGTTCCTTGGACTTTTGGGGGGCTATTTTTCTTTTAGATTGGAACCAAGTGATTTGTCTTCGTGCTCACTAATTAAGCTTTCTATTGCTTCCATTTTACTGCTTTCTTTTAAGTTGTTGTCTAATTTTATCTCTTAATATTAATCTTCTAGATTTCTGTTTAGGTTTTATTGTTGTTACAACTTTTCTAATTTTTCCCATATTTCCACCATAGTTCTTGCAATATATTGTTTTCTCCATCCATTGCAAGTACTGTACATCATTCCTATGAATTCTTTTTCTGGTAGTTCCAGTGCCTTTTTTTCCTCAGTAAGGTCCTTTGACTTGTATATCAGTCACTTGTTTGCTTTCTTGGATTCTTTGTATGGGCTGATATTTTCCATGGTCTCTGTCACATTGTGGTCCATTGCTATGGTTGGGAGGGTGTCTAGGTCACATGGGGACAGTTGCATCCACCGAGGAGTGCAAGAAAGGGATACTATAAACCAGAGCATAAAGCAGAGAGGAGGGGGATGCTGTTTCAGGGGGCTATCCCCTCAGCCATGGAGAACAGCAGGAGGGAGGTGGCCAAGGTCCCATTCCTGCACTATTTGGGCAGGCTCTTTCCTCAGTCATGGAGAACTGCGAGGCATTTGTAATCAGTATTTCTGTCACACAGTTCCCCAGGTTTGGGAAAGAGAACATATTTCTTAAGGAAAAGAGTCCTGCACTTGCTCTGTTAGCCTCCGGTCATAAGCAGCAGCCCATGGAGAGAGGGAATGAGCCATGAGCCAACCCCACCCTGCTCGTCAGTCCTGCTGGTTCAGTGCTGAATAAATGCAAAAGTAAAATGCCCTACTCAGACTGCGGCCCCAGCCCATTTGCAAGCATGCAGACCTGGATGCCCTCCTCCAAGTACCGTCTATATGCATGTATAAACTGAGTTTTTCAGCACATTTTTTATGCCGCTTCTGTGGTAAAATTAGGTGCCTCAGCTGATATTCGGGTCGGCTTATACTCAAGTATATACAGTACTCAGGATCCCTTGGGAAACAGGGCTGGTTTGCCCCTGCTTCCCCCTCCTCCTCACAGCACAGAAGATCTGTCCATTCCACCTCTGCTCCTGTCTGCATCCACAATCTTCCAGGAGTGGAGGATTCACCATTTGCTTCGTTCCGTTCGCTTAGCTTTTAGCTTTTCCTTCCAAGATTCCAGGCACTGGTTTCTCTTCCGTGTTGCTTTTCTCTGTATCTGTTCTAGGGAGGAGCTATAGTGAGTGCCTCTGCATAGGTGGCCATATTAACCAGCAGTCTCAAATTTCCAACCTTTCCAGGAAAATAGTGGAGCACGAACCATTTACGCCACCCAGGAGCCTCATCTTTTGACCTCACCTGAAATCCAAACTAAACTCATTGCCATTGAGTTATTCCAACTCATAGTGACTCAATACAAGAGCACTGAGCTGCCCGCATAGGGTTTCCTAGGTCGTAAATCTTGATGGAAGCAGCCTGCTACATTTCCTCCCCCAGAGTGGTTGGGGGTTCCGACAGCTAGCCTTTAGCTGCTAAGCCCAGTGTGTCAGCATTCTTCTCAACCTCACTCAGGACATCCCAGGGGAGGTGGGGAGAGGGACCAAGGAAGGAAGGAAGCTGGCCAGAGATGCTGAAAAGGGGGGAGGGGAGGGGGAGAAAAGAGCATATTGTAGTAAACATCAGGATTCCCCCTTCTCTCCTCAACATCACTTCACTTCAACATCAGGTGCTACTGCGGGGGAGGGTCACATCACCTCTGCTTCACAGATGAGAAATGCCAGAGGGAGATGGGCTGGGGGTCACTTTCCCAAGGTCACAGAGAGTAGAAGGAAACATCAGACATTGGACCAAAGTGTCCCAGCACCACTGCACCAGGCTGAGCATGTGAGATAGAAGTCAGGAGAAAGGCTGAGGAGCCAGGGGTGGATCTAGACTGGTGGTGGGGGTGGGGATGGGGTGGGGTGACAGATAAGGGGGTGCAGAAGTGAGGTAGCTGGGTGGGCAGCAGGCAGAAGCCAACAGAGGCCTGGCTCCCTGAGACCCGCATTTCCCCACTTTCCCCCTAGCAGAGCAACTCACGGTGGTAGGGAAGATTTCCTTCAACCCCAAGGATGTGCTGGGCCGAGGGGCCAGCGGCACGTTCGTGTTCCGGTGAGTGGTATCCAGGGAGCGTTTTCTTCCAAGCACCCCACCATCCAAGGTGGGTATACGTTGGTTCCTTACTCACCAGTGCCTGCCCCTTTCTTCACCTGCTCTCTCTGAACTTCTGTTCACCCACCTCCCAGGGGACAGTTTGAGGGGCGGGCAGTGGCTGTCAAGCGGCTCCTTCGGGAATGCTTTGGCCTTGTCCAGCGTGAGGTGCAGCTGCTGCAGGAGTCCGACCGGCACCCCAACGTCCTCCGCTACTTCTGTACAGAGCGGGGGCCACAGTTCCACTACATTGCCCTAGAACTCTGCCAGGCCTCATTGCAGGAGGTGAGGCCAACGCTCAGAAAGGGAGGGACCAGCACAGTGGGTTGGCCTGGGGTCCCCTGGCTATAGGGTGACACTGCCCCTTGCTTCTCAGTATGTGGAGGCCCCCAACCTGGACCTCTGGGGCCTGGAGCCTGACGTAGTGCTGCAACAGCTGATGTCTGGCCTGGCCCATCTGCACTCCTTGTGCATAGGTACCAGTCTCCTTGGGCTCCCTATCCTCCACCCCTCCTGCCCCAGTCCTAGCCCCAGGCCCAGGCCCCGAGCCCTCTCTACTCCCCCAGTGCACCGAGACCTGAAGCCGGGCAACATTCTCATCACAAGGCCTGACACCCAAGGCCAAGGCAGGGTGGTCCTCTCGGACTTTGGCCTCTGCAAGAAGCTGCCCGCTGGTCGCCAGAGCTTCAGCCTCCGCTCGGGCATCCCTGGCACAGAGGGCTGGATGGCACCCGAACTCCTTCAGCTCCCAACCCCCGAGAGCCCGGTGAGTCTTTCCACCAGGGGGGCTCAGGGATCCTGTGAAATCATGCCACGCTTGAGGCTTGGAGTCTGGCCCTGTCCCACCCTGGGCAACGCCTCTGGGCCAACAGTCGTTCATGTGGACAGTGGAGGGAGTTAGTCTTTCTTCCCTGCAGCAGGGGCCCCGGTAGTTTAATGGTGAAATGCTGGGCTGCCCTCAGCAGCTCGGAGCAAGCACAGGGGGCGGCAGCTTTCTATTCCTGTGGAGAGTTAGTCTCAGAAAGGCACGGAGCAAGTTCTGCCTGGTCCCATCCACAGGGTCCCTGTGAGTTCGCTTTTGGAGTTTGGGGCCTCTGCAGCGGGAAGACGAGGCGGCTGCTTTGGAAAAGACTCGGCCTGGGAAACCCCAGGAGCAGTTCTATAGGCTGGCTGCGTGGGTCTCTACCGCAAAAGGAGACCTGGTGAGGCAGTGACTGAAGCACTTGGCTGCTACCTGAAAGGCTGGTGGTTTGAACTCACCAACTACTTCACAGGAGAGAGGTGTGCGCTCTGCCTCCACGCAGATCGGTTTGGCAAGTCCTATGGGACAACTCTCCACCATCCTTTCAAATGGAATCAGAGCAAGGGGGTTGCTGCTTATCTAGAGCAGTGCTTCTCAACTGGAGACAGCCTCCTCCCTCTCACCCCCCCCCCCCCCCCCCCCCCCCCCCCCCCGGGACATTTTTCAGTGTCTGGAATTATTTTTGAATGTCACTAGGACAGCAGTTCTCAACCTGTAGGTCGCGACCCCTTTGGGGATCGAATGACTTTCCCAGGGGTCGCCTAATTCATAACCGTAGCAAAATTACAGTGATGGAGTAGCAACAAAAATAATTTTATGGTTGGGGGTCATCACGAGGAAGTGTATTAAAGGATCGCGGCATTAGGAAGGTTGAGAACCCCTGCACTAGTGGCAGGGGTATGCTGACACCTGGTGGGTCGAGTCCTGGGGTGCTGCTGCACACCCAATAGGCAGGACACAAGGAAAGATGGTCAGGCCTGAAATACGACCGTGCTGAGGTTCAGACACCCTGCTCTGCAGAATCGCCTGGAGAACTTTAAAACGCGCCCGGGCGCCCTGGGCCAGTGATTCTGACCTAGCTGGCCTGAAGTCGGAGCCAGGTGACTTCAATACGTAGCTAAAGTTGAGAATCACACTGGCCCAAGGCTTGGAGAGCAAATGAGCTCATGGGAGCTGAGCATAGCACCCGGTGTCTGCCTCCAGTAGTTATGGAGCCCGTTCTATAGATTGGGGATTTATCCATGTGGGGGTGTCCATTAAAGTCATGGCATTCATGAGAGTAACAGGAAGGACAAACACTTGTAAAGTTGAGTCAAAAGACAGTCTGGAAGTCCAGGGACCGAATCTAGCCCACAGGGCTTATTTTTCAAAACGGGAAATTCCACACAAACCTCTGGCTTTCTGAATCCTCTTGGAAAATCAGATGCTCTGCCCTCTGCTGGCAACAATCAGCTAAGGTCCTATAGCTTCTGCTACCTGCCTCCACCCTGCAGGCACGAGGTCTGTAAGCAGGGCTAGCTCAGTAGGGGCAGTTTGAGCCCAGTGACGTGGTGGTTACTGGTTGGGTAGCTAACCATAAGGTCAGCAGTTCAAATCCACCAGCCACTCTGCAAAAGACAAGACAGACAAGGCTATCTACTACTATAAAGAATCACAGTCCTGGAAACTCACAGGGGCAGTTCTAACCTGTCCCTCTAAGCCAGCATTGACTCCATGAGTTTGTTTTGGTTTGGTTCACTGGTGCAGAGGGAACGGGCGAATGGGCGATCGAGCAGCCAGGAGTAGCCTCCCAGGAAATCGTCCTGGGATTTGGATCCAGGCCAAATCCCTGGTTACCCTAGCAGCCCCCATGAGAACCGAGCCAGGCAGACTTCCTTATCAGCGTCTCCCTGGCTCCCAGACCAGCGCAGTGGACATCTTCTCAGCCGGCTGTGTGTTCTACTATGTTCTGTCTGGTGGCAGTCACCCCTTTGGAGGGACTCTGTATCGCCAGGCCAACATCCTCGCAGGGACCCCTTGCCTGGCTCGCCTGGAGGAGGAAGTGCACGGTGAGGAACACTGGGTGTCTCAGGAGGAAGGGCGGGAGGCTGTGCGGGCCTGAAGTCATGCTTCTTCTATCCCCCAGACAAGGTGGTTGCTCAGGACCTGGTGACCGCCATGCTGAGCATGAGACCACAGACCAGGCCCTCTGCTCAGCAGGTCCTGGCCCACCCCTTCTTCTGGAGCAGAGCCAAGCAGCTCCAGTTCTTCCAGGTCAGAGGGAAAGCTAGGGGGTGGCCCTAGGGAGCGTGTGTGTCTGGCTCCTTACTGCAAGCTGACATAAAGCCCAGGCGCCGATCCGTTCCGTCTCGGCAGTCCACCGGCCACTTGCTCCCAGCACAGCTGTCCTCGGTGCCATTCCTTTCAGCCCCAGTTGTCACACCCCCTGTGTGTGCCCAGCGCTCTTTCCACCATTCTGGCTTAGAGCAAGGGACTTGGCACCTCGGCGCCCGTGATCGCATCTGGGGAATGGGGTGGTTGAAAGGGAAGACCCCGTGGGTTGACATGGGGCCACTCAAGAGGCAGGGATCCCTACATCCTAAACTACCAAGCCTTTGCTCCATTGCTCTTCTTACTCATATGAAAGGGTTTCAAATTTGTGGGGAAATCTCGCCATCGTTTCCTGCCACCTACCCACAAGCTGTTTGAAGCCCTCTTGTCCAAGCCCCCTGGCCCTTGTCATGAGGCCCCGCTCTGCGTCCTAGGATGTCAGCGACTGGCTGGAGAAGGAGGAGGAGCAGGAGCCCTTGGTGATGGCTCTGGAGGCAGGAGGCCATGGGGTGGTTCGGCACAACTGGTACACACACATCTCGATGCCGCTGCAAACAGGTGGAGGGCCAGATTCAGAGGGTGGGGTGGGGGCTGCCCAGGAAGTCCTTGTGAATCTCTGTAGGGGCAGCTTTGCCAATTCTTTTCCGCCGGTAGATCTGAGACGGTTCCGGTCATATAAAGGAACATCAGTGCGAGACCTGCTCCGTGCCATGAGGAATAAGGTGGGGCTCCGGGGCTGGGGGGCCCAGGGCTCGGGAAAGCAGGCCCCAGCCACAGCTGAGCCGGGTTCCTCTGCTCTGCCTTCCCGTAGAAGCACCACCACAGAGAGCTCCCGGCGGAGGTGCGGCACGTGCTGGGCCAAATCCCCGACGGCTTCGTCCAGTACTTCACAAGCCGCTTCCCAAGGCTGCTCCTGCACACACACCAGGCCATGCGGAGCTGCGCCTCGGAGAGCCTCTTCCTGCCCTACTACCCACCAGCCTCTGCGGCCGGGAGCTGAGAGCCACAGCTGGGGTGGGGTGGGGGGAAGGGAGCCGGGCTGGTGGCCAAGGATGGCCTCAGTGCAGAGGCCTGGCAGACCGGGGGAGGCCCCAGAGCAAAGGGAATAAAAGAAGATTCACATAGATTTAATGTATATAAAGCAAAGGATAGGGCAGTCCAAAATTCAATAGAAATCATCTGTACAATTCATAGGGGAGGCGCAAGGGAAGTGGCTATGGGACCCACACCTGGACACGTGAAAAAATAATTTACAAAACCGCCCCCACCTGCAAGGATGGTGTCCCGCTTTCCTTGGCCCCCGGGGCTGGGAGGCGTGTGAACCAGTGTAGGCCCGGGGTGCTGGTGGGAGGGGAGAGGGGCACCAGTCCGAAGGGAGGGAGTCCTATGAGGAGGCCTTGAGGCGGTTGGTGGCCGAGCGGGAGCTCAGCAGCTTGTCCACCATGGTGCGGGCGTAGCGCAGGCGGCTGGCCAGCTCCTTGGAGCAACCGTGCTCCTCCAGGAGGCTCAGGCGGTACGTGCGGAAGTCCCGCTTCTCGTTGATGTAGGTCACCGCCGCCATCAGCGGGCACAGGATGAGTTTAGTATGGTCCTGGAAGGGTGGGAGACGGCCAGAGGGAAGAGGTCAGTGGGCTGGAAAGCCTTGCTGCCAGTGGGTTTGAAGGGCATGTAGGGGAGGAATCGGGAGTCTGGTGGAGCAGAAGTGAAGCACTCAGCTGCCAACTCAAACATTGGGCGATTCAAACCCACCAGCTGTGCTGTAGGGCAAACGGCTGGGTGGGGGGTGGGGGGACGGGCGGGGGAGTCAGCTTGAGTTGAGGCAGTTTTGCTCTGTCCCATCGGGTCACTATAGTTGAGTCAGAATCAACTCAACAGCAATGGGGTTTGCCTGGGATGGAAAGAAGCTATCTCAGCTGATGGGAGAGTCTCTATCCCACGGCACTCTCTTATTGCTGCTACCAAGGATAGATGGAAACACACAACTCCTGTGGGCTCACTGCCAGACTCCGAAACCCCACCCCACAGTTGCTGGGCTCACCTGGAAAAAGTTGATCTGCACACAGCCATTGCTGAGATGCAGGATGATGGCGCTGCGGGTACGGAACCAGGTCCGCAGGTAGGGTAGCCGGGCCAGCTCATCCCCTTCCCGTGGCGTGATGTTGGCACCAGCCTTCAACAAGTGTTCGCTCATGTAATTCCGGAAATACTTAAGGAGTGTGATCTGGTTGGAAAATGGGACAGGTGGGCCAGTTACAGCCTGGCCCTGGGATGAACCCATACTCCAACATACCAAGCCCATGGCCCGGCCAGCGCTCACCTTCTTCGTCAAGGAGTTGGGGTGGGAATTGACGGTGAGGTAGGACTCTGTGCCGTCCCGCTCAATGTACTGCAAGCTCTCCCCGTCATTGTAGAGGATGAGGCGGGTCGAGTCATTGAAGAGCACCCCCACACTGTTGTCACACAGCTGATATCCTGGCGGTAGGTGGGGGAAGGCTTCAGAAATGGGGAGTGGGGACTAGAGGGACCCTGGGAGGTACAGGATGGAGATGGGAGGCCTGGGAGTCAGCAAGGGCCACCTGGCACCTGACTGGGGAGGTCCCATTTTGTTGGACTAAACCCACCCATTCCAGAAAAAACCTACCGAGGCCATATTTGTCTGAATAGTCCACCCACTTGCTGATCCAGAAGATGGGAATGCAGGCGGGATCCTCAGCCTCCTCTGAGATGGAAACAGAGAGGTGATTGGTTAGGATCGGTCTTGTCCCCTCTGGTCCCTCATGTGGCCCCCAACAGGGAAGCCAGCCAGGCACCTAACCAGGGCTCAGCCAAGACTCAAGAGAAGAGGAGACAGCTATTGTCTGTCAGCCAGGCCTGGGGTCCTGGAAGAACAGCATGGCCCGACCACCAGTAAGCACAGACAAGGAGCAGGATAGGCTTTGAAGCAGAGAGTTACAACACTGTGTGCCAACGCCCCTCATTCATTCAATGGGCCCATTTATTGAAGGCCAGTCACCGCCAGGGGCACAGTGAACAAAAGGAGCAAACCCCACTTTCATTCTGCTGGCAGACATGAAGACTAATGGAAGTAAACGTGGACAATAGAAAGCCAATGTGCAGGGGGCACGAAATGTCCTTCAGGGTGATGGAAGTTTTGCAAACAGCCAGCAACAGTGATGGCTGCATAGCGGGAGGGATGTACCAAGGATCACTGAAGTATACACGTCAAAAAATGTCGCAATGCCAATGTTTGGATGCCACAGAAATAAATATAGATGAAATATGTAAGCCACTGCTACATTGCTCAGTCAGCGGCTGGCGGATCGTCTTCCTTTCTAGTTTGAGTGATTAAAAGTTATGAGAATAAATTCAGAGTGTAATAGTGGTTATCTGGTGCAGAAGAAAAGGAATGGGGGAGGGAACTGTTTTTGTTTACGGGGATGGAAAACTAGTTGACAGAGGTACAGCACTGATGTAACGGGTCTCACTAACGTGAGGCATTTCATAGTCATTCCTGCTATGAAATCACGGCAACCTTTATGGAACAAAAGTACCAGAATGTGACGCTGTCGTTTCTCAGTGGTCAGAGCTATACACTTCTGAAGGTGATGTTTCTAACTCTAAACCTCCCCGCAACCCACAAAACAAATTCTGAGCTCTGATATACACCACATCAAAATGGCAGTTTTAATATCCTTGAGGTTCAAAAGCATGTTCTTAGAAATGTTCTTTGAGTTTGGAGAACCAAACAAAAAGAAGGCTGGAGGTGCAAGATCAGGGCTCAAGGGTGAACGGGGCAAAGTTACCCAGTAAAACTCTTCTAGGACAGCCCTTGCTACCATGGTAGAATGAGTAAGTGCATTGCCCTGGTGGGAAAAAACTTCTTGGCACAGCTTTCCTAGCCTGTTTCTAACTAATGCAGCTTTTAATTTTCTGTAAGCATCTTCCAAAAAAGCCATGGTCATCCTGTGTCCTTTGAGAAAATCTATCAAGATTACCCCTTGGGAATTCCACAAAATAGTCACCATAGCCTTTGAGCTGGCCTCTCTGCCTTCAATTTAACTGGCCTGGCAGATCCTAAAGGAAGCCTCTGTTTTGAGTGGACTTTTTGGAATGGCAGTAAGACAACTGTGTCATGACTGAGAGAGCCGTCTGCAGATATCCACTGATTGCAGACGCATTCCCACATATTTTGCTCAAAGCAAACCCGCGGATGAATGCACTGGAGCAGCGGTTCTCAACCTGTGGGTCGAGACCCCTTTGGGGGTCGAATGACCCTTTCACAGGAGTCGCCTGATTCTTAACTATAGCAAAATTACAGTTATGAAGTTGCAACAAAAATAATTTTATGGGGGCGGGGGGGTGGGGTGGGGGTCACCACAACATGAGGAACTATATTGAAGGGTCGAGGCATTAGGAAAGTTGAGAACCACTGCACTAGAGCGATACTTTTTGGCATGCCCATGTATACATGGGAAAGATGGTAATCGGCAACAAGAAGAAAAACTTGTGACAACTCCAAAAACATCAAAACGTTATGTTCAGTGTCGATAATCAATCCCTTATGTGAAATCAACAAACAAATATTGGAATATTTGAAATCTAGGGCAGGTAAGGGGACAGGACGCGTGGGGAGGCCTGAAAATGGTCCAGGACACACCACTGGACGGGCCAGACGGCGGAGGACATGCATTCCAGGGGGAGGAGTACGAGCAGACAGACACCCATGACCATGACCAAAGTATGTCTGGGTCTGTCAATCAAGGAGGTCACTGAGACAGCAGGTGCCAACGCGCCCAGGCTGCACCCTCAGAAGGCAGCCAGAAGTAATCTGAGGTGGCTGCCAGAAGGGTCATTTGTGGAAAGAGTAGATGCATCCGAGAAACAGGACCTTGGATGTCAAAATAACGCACTTGAACTTAACAGACGGGAAGTAGGGGAAGCCATGGTGACCGGGGCTGAGACAAGCCCGGCTGGCTGGGCCCACGCTTGCCCTCTCCATGTACCCCAGGTCCACCTCATCCCCACCAGGCCCCACAGTGCCCACCTTGCCTCACTAGCCCCCGTTCCGAGGGCTTAGTGGCATTGACGCTATGTAGCTGCTGTAGCATGTCACTGAGGTGGCAGTCAACTGCCTCACCCATCTCCTGAGCCACTGGCTCCTCTTTTTCCCGGGGACGTTCGGGCACAGGGTTCTCCATGCCTAGGAAGAAGATGAGGCATGGTTATTAGCTGAGCACAGAAGCAAAGTGGTTGAGACTAGCACTGGACACCCTGGCACAGCTGGCACCCTCCCCAGAGAAAGGGCCCTTCGGAAGTAGGTGCCAACTCAGGGCGACCTTACGTGCAACAGAAGGAAACGCTGCCTGGCCCTGTGCCATCCTCACAATCGCCCTTAGTTTGGGAGCCCATTGTTGCGGCCACTGTGTCAGTCCATCTCTGTGAGGGTCTTCCTCTTTTTTGCTGCCCTGCTGCTTTCCCAAGCATGATGTTCTTCTCTAGGGACAACATGTCCAAAGCAGGTGGGATGGAGTCTCTCCATCCTTGCCTTTAAGAAGTATCCTGGCTGTGCATCTTCCCAGGCAGATTTGTTTGTCCTTCTGGCGGTCCCTGGGACTGTCACTCTTTTTTGCCAGCACCACAGCTCTTGAAATGGTTGAACGTCCACGCGTTATTGTTTGGTACGGGTCATCTTTCCATCTTCTTTTGATACTTCCCGTATCGTTCATTTTGCCGATTGAATCTTTCAACATCACAACTCGCGGCAGCTGTCATAGCTTTAGGTAAACGGAGTCAACGCAGTTAGCCAAGCAGTAGCTGCCGTGTTCCTGTGTCAGCACATCGTACTCACTAGTTCCTCCAGGTCCAGGCCAAGGTCTTCCGGAAGGCAACACAGCCACAAGAGCTTCAGAGCTCAGGCCTCTGACCCAATGGTCTTCTAGCCCTATGGGTACCACATCCACTCAGGACAGTCTGGCCTCAAGCAAAGATCTTAAAGGCATCTTCTACAGGAGAGAAGATGGAAGGGCTCCGAAAATCAGCTCACCAGCGGGATGGCTCATGAGGGCCTTTAAAAATGAAATCAGAGCCCTAGTAGCACAGTGGCCAACTGCAAGGTGGGCAGCTCAAACCTACCAGCCACTCTGGAGGAGGAGGATGTGGCCGGTGGCTTCGATCCAGATGACAACCTGGTCCTACAATAATGGTCATGATGAGTCAAGAACTGGATCAATGGCCACAGGTTAATCTTTTAGTTTGAAAATGGTCAAGGGAAACTAGAAGGATTTCCCACCTCAACGTCACGCTACCTGCTTATATCTGATCACAGAGAATCTGAAAACATCCCGACATTTCTCACATGGATTCTATCACGGCGGTAGAAACGTATGCTATCTTATGTAATGTGAGATGTTTCAGAAAACAGTTTAAGGTGGGCTTTCAAATTTCAAATAGCGAAACAACTAGGTTGTGACAAGGATTCAAGTGTGAAATATCATGCTGGAGGTTTGCTTTAAAATAACAACTTTAATAAAAAGGGGCCGGGGAGGTAGAGTAGATCAAGTAAATACAGCCAAAGGCTGACAATGACTGGGAATGGATGAGGAGTTCACAAAAATTCATCACGCAGCTCTTTCTGGAAAAGCTTGGAATTTTCATAATAAAGTGTGTTGTTGTTTTTAAAAGTGTGTGTTCAAAATGTAAACAAAACACTCAAATGGAAAAAACCAAACTCATTGCCATGAAGTAGATCCGGGCTCATAGTGAGCCTGCAGTTGAACTGCCCTGTGGGTTTCTGAGACTATCACTCTTCACAAGAGTAGGAACCCCGTCTTTCCTCCCTCAAAGCAGCTGGTGGTTACACACTGCGGTTGGCAGCCCAACAGGGAACCACTGCACCCTGAGGGCGCCTTTGTCCTTCTGATAGGCACAGAGAAAAGTGCTATCTCTCCCTGCCAACAACATGGGCCTAACCAACCCCACGGTTTCACGAAAGACAAGGAGGGAAGAGACAGACAACTGTCAACGGCTGTTAAGAGACATAACTACACACAATGTGGGATCCTGAATTGGATCTTGATCCTGGAGGAGAAAGGCGGCATCAGGGAGTAAAATCCAAAAGGAGGCAGTAGTGGTGTTAAGAGTATCACCCCAATGTTTTCTTAGTTTTCCATCCTTGGTCGTTTTTGCCTCTTTTTTGCAGGTCTACATTTATGTCAAAAGCTATTTAAAAAGCAATTTTTAAGGGGGAGAGGAGGGGAGGAAGGGGATACCGATCCCAATGATTGACACATAACCACACCATACCCCACTCCCTCCAGGGGATGAACAACAGAAACCGTGGGGGAAGGGAGATTGTGGTCAGTATAAGATATGAAAATAATTTATCAAGGGTGTGGGGGAGGGAGGGAAAAGCCGCCAATCAAATGATCTTTTAATAGTAATAATAATAATAAAAGCAATTTCTAAAAACCAAAAATTAACGGAAACCAATTGCTCTGGCGGTGCTGTCAGTGTTGGACTCCCCGCCCCCACTAACCTCAAGCAGCTCCCCACCCACCCACGGCGGCTCTATAGGAAAAAGATGAGGCTACCTGCTCCGGAGCAGATCCACGGCCTCAAAGCCCCCACCCTCTGCAGGGGCACTGAGTCAGAACGACTCAATGGCAGCAGGTTGGCTTTTTCAGTATCTACTCAGTGGGGGGAGGGAAAGGTATTTGATGCAACTTCTTTTGTATTATATATTATACAGTTAGCAAAGTAAAAAATAGTCACCACACACATCGGGGAGGGAAGATGCTATATAAGACAATATTGTATCCATGCTCAGTTTCCTGAACTTGGTAATTGTGCTATCTGTTAGTTTTGTATAAAAATCTTTTATAAAAGCAGTAAGAGCCAATGATTTTTCTTTAAATCTTAGATAATTTAAGAGATAGTGATATAAAATGTAATCTTTTTTTAGTACATCCAAGCCCTAAATAACTAAACAGCAGTACTGTTAAAAACCACTTACTGAGTGTATTCTATGTAAGAAGCCCTGTCCTAGTTACTAAGTATACATAAAATAAATGAATAAAATAGCAAAGAAAAATCTTTTAGGAGCTATCCTCAGAAGTAGGGAGCATAAAGGAAGGGCTATACACACACACACACATAAAGCATAATTTCTCCTGATGCTTTATAAAAGAGGGGCTCAGAGAGAGCAAATGTGGAAAACAATTCGAGTCGAGCTTCTGGGTTAAAGGGCCGAACCGTGCAGCTAACTTTTCAGGAGTTGTCTTGAAATACTCTCAAGACAAAAATGCTAACAATGTGAATAAGGCCCATCGATACTCTCAAATGCGCTCCCTCCAGGGGGATTTCCTAGTTGTGACCCGTGCGAGACCCAGAAGCTAAGCAATCGCATGTGGCTTTGAAAATGGCCATCGTTTTAATGAGATGCAGAATGGCATTTAAAGAGAACGGTGGCTGGGATTAGCTTCTTGCGTACTTTTTATTTTAAAAAGTGGAAAAAAATAAAGGGGGAGGTGGGGTAGAGGAAGCAAATGTAGCCAAATGTTCATTACTGACTATGGTTGGTGCTTTATGTATATTTTTTACAATGAGTCACCAAAGAATTGTGTTGGGAATTGTTGTCAATCCATGTTTCCCCAAGGTGTGTGCGGTGGTAGTGGGTGGGGAGAAGTGTCCTGCGAAAGGACACCGACACTTTATCCTGGAGAAGCCCTGGCGGCACAGTGGGTCACATACAGGCTAACACAAGGTCAACATTTTGAAACCACTAGCCGCTTTCTACGCCCGTGAAGACTTTACAGTCTCAGAAACCCACAGGGACAGTTGTACTGTCCCATAGCGTCACCATGAGTGAAATTGATTCAAAAGCAGTGAGTCTGGAGTGTGAGTTTACACCTTATTATGGATCATGGGCTACAATACCATTGTTAAGTCCCAGGAGGACACGGAGTAAATTTTTTCTGAAAGGCGGGCAATAGGCCAAATATGCTTGAACATATGTTTAAGAGAATTGTTTAGGCTTGACTTTAAGGGCCACTCTCCTCTTCTTGGGCCCGAGGGGTCTTGTCCCTGCCACGGTCAGGTCTGTCTTTGCTGACCAGACCCAGGGGCAGAAGGGTCTTCTTCTAGCCATGGCTTCAAGGATAGGGCAGGAGGGCATTGGCTCCACCCCTCAGCTTGGTGGGGGGATGCCACCCACACACCCCATACGCGGGCTTTCCCTGCAGGTCTGCTCCCTCCTCTAACACCCATTTTACCTTTATTGAGGACTGTGAGAGGTTTCCGGTGGCTGGAGTCCAGGCTGCTGGGAGCGATGGAGAACCGGGGTGGAATGGTGAGGCAGGTGATGGGCAGCCGGGCAGGGATATAACCCGAAGTAAAGAACTCGTCGTTCAGCAGCTCACTAATGGTCGGGCGAGCGCAGGGATCGGTCTGAAGCATTTTCTGGATGAGGGAGGCCGCCGTGGGGTTGATGTGCTAGCGCAGGAAGGAGAGCCATGAGCATGAGACAGGAGACCCAACCCACAGCCCAGCTCAAAGGACCTGTCTCTGCCTTCCAGTCTCTAATATGCCACGGTCCAGGGACTATCAATCACGCCAGTGTCCCCGCGATCAGCTTCAGTGAATCGACAGGTGTCAAGCTAAGTTGTGAGGATTGTTGCCCTGGAAGCGTTGTGCAAGGCCGGCAGTTCAAAACCACCAGGTGCTCCACGGGAGAGAGAGGAGGCTTGCTATCCCCGTAAAGATTGAGTCTCAGAAACTGGCAGGGGCAATCCTACCCTGCCCTATAAGGTTGCTGTGAGTCTGAATCGACTTGATTACAGTCAGTTTGTCCCCAGCCCCACTCCCTCTCCGCTTTGGGTCTCAAGATTAGCTTTAGGTTGAGAAGGGGAATTGCTTGAGAATAAAGGCTTTGATACTGGGTTCAAAGATCTGGATTCAAATCCCAACTCTGTCCTCTAATACTATCTGGAACACCTAACTTTCTCGGGCCTTTGTATCCATCAGCATCTGTTAAATGAGCTATGTGCAACAATGCTGGAGAATGGTCGAAATTCAATGAGTTATTACCCAGCACAGGTCTGGGACGCACCAGCAGCTGTCTGACATTGACTACACTCACTGTGTGCCAGGGCAGAGTCCTAAAAGCAAGAAGTCTGTCAACTCCTTTGACTCTCACAAAAGCAGGTGAGGTGGGGACCCCTATCAGGATGCCTCCTTGGCAATGAAGAAATGAAGGAAGCCTGGAGAGGGGACGTGCCTTGCCTCAAAGCACACTTAATGAGCAGTGGGGCTGACTTCCATAGCCAAGGGATCAAGGTGTCAAGGTCAATCCTTCTGTCCTTCATAAGTAGATGGGGTTCCTGGCCACACACAAGGACACCAACTAGAAAGTGGCCACGTGCTAAGCTACTACTGAACATGCTATTCATTTAAAATGTGTCTATGCTGGTTGGCTGTGAGAATAGCAACCACTTTGCCATTGGGTTCGTGGTGGCTGACAGTTATGTAAGTGCTTAGTGTATGCATTCTGGAAGCCAAGGGGAGGGGGGGAACCAAACCCACTGCCAACTAGTCAACTCAACCCTGGAAGGCAGCGCAGCCCCACCCTTAGGGCTTCCATGGCTAGTCTTTATGGAAGCAGACTGTCACATGTGGCATGGGGTCCCCAGGTATCGAGCGGCCGTCCATTGGTTCCAGGTGGTCCATTCAGCTACGAAGCGCCAGAACCAATCTGAACCAAGGCGGTCGGTCCAGCCCCCAAAGGAAAGATTTCTTCCCTCCTGGCGTTTGTTTGGCTTTTTTGCCTTTTACATGTCGGTTGAGTCACATCCTTTGGGAGACTCCACGCTCTCTTCCTTTATGGGAAAAAACAAAACCAAACCAAAAAACCCCTATGGGCACCTATGCGCCAGGTTCTACATGCAATTTCAGATAGACCTTCGAAAGTCCTATGGCTGGAGTGGACCTATCTCGGTTCCCAAAATTTAGCTGGACTCAGTAGGAAAAACAGGAATTCAGTCTTGTTAGTCACCTTAGGAATGCTGTATTCATTCTTCTTGATCCGGAGGTAGGTCTCTTTTAGGCAGGACGTCTCAAACGGCGGTTTGCCCACTAACAAAGTATACCTGTAAGTAGAAGGTAGGATTTGGCTCCTACTCAGAGGGCCCATTTCAAGCCAGAGCAGTGTCCGGGCATCCTCTTGGTCTAGGCCCCTAAAGTCAATCCCAAGTTCACTCAGCAGCCCTATGAGCCAGGACACTGATTGGATGAGCCCTCAGCAGAATACCAGGACTGAGGCCAGAGTGGCCATGGAGCCCCGTTTTTCAACTCCAGCTTGATGTAACACAGGGCTCTGAAGGGGCCCCAGAGGCTGTTGGCGGTACAAAGCAAGTTAAAGTAGAAAAGCTCTTCCGGAAGCAGCTCCGCATTTAGCAGTTCCAGGCTTACAAGAAGGCTTGGCATTTTCATTTTGAAAAAAAGGCTCTATTGTAAAAGAAGTAGGCAAGCCACTGCAACAGCGCATGTCGAACTCTGCAGCACCCTGGCCAATGACCAAAACCACCACCACCTGAAAATTCAGACCCACAGATCTGCCTCCCCCCCCCACCAAACCTTCTCTGATGGTCTTGATCCAGACAGCACAGGCATCCCCTCCTGTCAGCCTTAACACTTGGCCAAATCCCCCACCCGCTGGTCAGTGCTGTTTTCTAGGGTCAGTGGTCCTAAAGCTTTATTATATCTAGAAATCAATCAGGCTGAAGTCAAACTCCAGATCTGTTCTAGTAAGTCAGGGCCAGAGTTCCATTTCCATCAAGTTCCTAGGCGATGAAGATGCTGCTGGTCCCTGGAGCAGTGGGCGTCTACAGCAAGGTTATGTAAAGCAGTGCCTCTCCCCACTCCCCCTTCCCAGACCCAAGGCTTGGGCTGCAGGCATCTTGCAGGATACTCCAGAGTGACAGGAAAATTTAATAAGATAGAAAGCAAGCTTTGCTTTTGGGCCATCTGTCCTTCAGAGCAGCCTTTCCGTGAGCAGAAATGTCCCCAGGATAAGGTCAGCCAGGTGAGATGTCCAAAAGGAGCCCTACTGAGGCTGGATGGATTCCAAGACAACTGCTCACTTACATGATGCACCCAATGGACCACACGTCCACCTCGAAACTGTGCCCTTTCTTGCTCAGCACCTCAGGAGCGATGTAGTTGGGAGTCCCACACAGTGTCTTCTTCCGCTCCCCGTCATACTCAACTTTGGTGGCCAGTCCAAAATCCCCTGTTACAGAAGAAGGGAGAGGGGGGCTCTGCCAGCTGCCAAGGCAGACAATTGATTTCAATTCAACTCTCAAGCCCCATTCACTCGTTTCCACAGTCTCGACTCCTTGCACCCAGCCCAGGGAGGTTTACCTGGGAATCCTCCCATCTGCTCACCCCTGGGTAGTGCCTACCGACACCACCCCCACTCCCCATATGAAGGACCGCTGTGCTTCTGAAGGGAACTAGATAGAAATAGCAAAACTCAGAGCTACAGGGATCAAGCAGCTAACCTGTGCCTGGCCACATTTGTGAGGAAGGTATGGGAAGGGGTGGGGTGAGCTGCGGCAAAACAGAAGCCGTCTTAGGGGCACAGTAACCTCCAATACAGCAAAGGACTAGCTTGAGGGAAGGCTGTCCCTGTTCTGCTGGTGATTCCAAAACACTTAAAAGGGGCTCCAAATCCGAACTTTTATGTCAAGCCTCCAAAATAAGAAAATAGGAGCAAATTCTAATTATTTTATAAGAATTCTTCACCAACAGGCAGGCCACTTGCTTGCAGGTCCTTAGTTTTAAATTTCTGGACTTAATGAGACACCCTGGTGTAGTGGGTTACACTTTGGGCTGCTAACCTTAAGGTTAACAGTTCAAAACCAACAGGGGCTCCAGGGGAGAAAGATGAGGCTTTTAACTCCTGTCAAGCGTTAAAGTCTTGGAAACCACAGAGGCTGTTCTACTCTGGCCTGCAGGGTGGCTAGGAGTTGGAATCGACTGATGGCAGTGAATTAATTTAAAATAGCGACTCCATGGCAATCAACTGCTCGGACTTCCCATCATCCTCTTCCTCCATCCTCTCCATATTTCCTCCCTCCACCTCTGCCTCCTCACCCCATCCCCCTCTAGTGGTGTAGGGCACTCCTGCAGGTTCAGCACCTCACCTATTTTCACCTCCAGATCTTCGTTCAGAAAGAGGTTGCCCAGCTTGAGGTCCCGGTGAATGACTCGATTGCGGTGCAGATACTGGCAGCCAAGGACGATCTGCCGCAGGTAGTAGCGGGCCTCGGGCTCCGTCAGCGCTTTCCTCCGCTTGTGCAGCTCCAGCAGGGACTGAGCCCCAGAGGGAGGAGGAATGGAGAGACAAGAGTTGAGAACCATGGGCGGTTAGGGAAAGGCAGCCCAGGGCTGGACCCTGGCCTCCCAGGGTCAGGCAAATGGGGAGGGGACTTGGCAGGTTCTCCCTTCCTACCCTACCCACCCACTCACTCTCCAGGGCAACTGCAAGCTGGACCTTTGCCACAGCACCCTCTTTAGGAGGGACTTTCTCCCAAGACCCTGCTCTGGGCCCTCCCTCCTGGCCCCACTCCGGAAGCTCGGAGCCAGTATCCTCTCTGGGTCTGCGGACCCCTCTTTTCTGAAAGTGCTCCCACACCCCACCCCAGCCCCATTCCGGAAGCTCCAGGTCCCGAGCAACCCTTGCCCGGAGCTCCTCCCCTAGCAACTCCAGGGGTCCAAGCGTCCATCACCAGGGTCCTTCCCTCTCCAAACATCTCGTGTCCAGGGGCCACCTTCCCTCCTCGCAGCAACATGACTCAGGCTCCTGCATCCCCTCCCCCCGCAGCTCCAGATGCTAAGCCCTCCCTGGTCCAGACCCTCCCCTCCTCTAGCTAGACCCCACCAACCCCTCCCTAGCAGTTCGGGTCCCGGCCCTCCTTCCCCAAGCAGCCCTGCCCAGCGGCTCCGGGTCCCCAGGAGAGACCCTCACCCTCCGGCGGCAGAGTTCCAGGACCACGAACACGAAGTCGTTGTCCTCGAAAAAGCCGTGGAAGCCGACGACGTGTAGGTGGGCGAGACTGCGGTGAATGGAAATCTCCATGGACATCTTCTCCTTCTGGTGCGGCTTGAGCAGCAGCGACTTCGGCACGATCTTCCCGGCGAACACCTCCTTGGTGTCCACATCCGAGATCTCGAAGCACTTGGCAAAGCCTCCCTTGCCCAGGAAGCGACCCCGCAGATAGCGCCGCCGGCTGCGCGGGTCCACCAGGACCTCCGGGATCTCCTTGGCCGGCGGCACCGCAGCCGTCGGGCCCGGAGCCGCAGCTCCGGGGACCCCGGGCTTCCCCGTGTCGGCCGGGACCCGCGCCAGCTTCCCTGCGGTCACCGCCGCACTCATGCTTCTGCAGTTTCTCGAGGACTTCACAGGCAAGGGACGGACAGACAGACGCTCCGCTCCGCTCCGCTCCTCCTCGAATTCAAACGCGGCGCCGGGAACGTTACAAGACCCAGCGCGTCCCTGATTGGCCGCGGGGATTTAAAATCCAAACCCGCCGACCGCGAGGCACCATGGGAGCGATCGGCAAAGCCGTCGCCTTTAAATCCCCGCCCCACCCAGCTGGGCAAGGAAGCTTGATGGGCGGGGACCCGCGGAGCGTACACACGTGGGGTGTCAAGGAAACTGTCGTTCGCGTGGGAAAGCCGGACCCAGTCCCTAGGGAGGGAAGTGCAGAATGTCTCCCTTTTGCAGGCGGCTGGGGTGCGCCTGCAAGTCACTTGCACCAGGTCCGGGAAGCCCGTCCCAGCACCTTCCCCAGCCAGCTCCATCCCACCCCGCCGGCTACAGCGGAAGCCCGAGGAAAGAGAGACCTGGGTGCGCCCACCGGTAGCTTGGGAAAGGTTGAGCGCCCGCCTCCTGAATTAATAGCGCTCTTCCAAGCCAGCCCCAAATAAACAAATCTAAAACCGCTGTGCTTGCCGGGCAAATGCACCTCCGCAGCACGTCCCCTAAGCCTTCTCTTTCACATAAATAGCTGCTCCTGACCCCTTTCTGCATTATAGGGGTAAGCCACCCCAAGTAACTAAGTCCAGGGACTCAGCACCACCTTCACCTGGGCACCTTTCAGAACGACCCCACCACAATAAGAGTGCCCAGGTGGTTGCTACGCACACACACAAACACGAGTGCCCAGGTGGTTGCTACACACACGTGTGTAAAGCGTGGTCCCAGAGGCTCCACTATGGGGGAAAGCCATGTGGCTTGCTCACTGCTGCTACCCCAGTTCCTAAAAAGAAGTGGACGGTCAATTTGTTGGCCAGGAGAGGAATGGCTGATGGGTTGGATGCTGGGCAAATTGCCTCTCCAAGGTCAAATGTGACCAGCAGGGTTATTTTGTTTGGCTTCCCTACTTTTAAAAAATCATACTCACGTACAGCATTTTAAAAACAACAGTAGGCTGCTGTTTTGCCAGTTTCCACCTCTGCCTTTGCCTGTTTGCCTGTCAGTCTGACTTCTGTGGGTACAAGAGTAGCTTAGCCAAGTTAGAAGCCCCTGCTCCGTGGCCCCTAGCATAAGGTGACCAGATTTTAACATTGGTAAGGCGGGACACCATTGAAGGGGGGGGTGGGGGTGGAGTGCGGGGGTGTTCTTGATTAAAAATTTGGTCTATATGGAGCAACAAACATTTTCATAGAATGCAAAAATAGTATTGTAATATATTTTTTAATTCCAACATAAGTACAATTTACAAATATAATACATTTAAAAGTATGTATAGTATTATTTTATTCTTTGGCATATTTCTCATTTGAGTGAATTTTTTTTAGTAGATTGCTGACTTTTTTAAAAGGTCATGAAATATTTCACAAGAATTTGTTAAATTACATTTCACACATAAAATGGCTTTCACACTTAATTGTGAATTTTCTGATGTCCACACTTTATTTACTGTAGAAAAAACACGTTCAGTCGCAGCATTAGTTCCTGGTAAGGACAGCGC